CTCTTGATCTATATGCTCATGGCTCTTACCCTCAGCCTGCGAAAGTAAAACACCAAGATCCAGTAGTTCGATGATCGCTTTATGGATTGGCTTCACTTCCTTCGACAAGAGCGCTCGCTGGTGCAATCTTTCAATACACTTGATGTGAATCTGGGACATCTCGTCGATATCATCGGCCTTTTCCATTGCCGAATTCATGTCTCGTATGGTCAGGAAGACGGCAGTCTCGGTGATATAAGAACGGAGGACATCGGCGAACCAATTCAAGCGTTGCAGGAGTCTGTAGAACATCGGTTGACGATTCTTTCTGGATGCGCGAATGCGCGCGCGTTGCAGTTGGTATTTGACTCGGTATATCTGCATCAGGAATGTACAGATCTCTTGGTAGATGGGTATGGACGAGCGTTGGATGATGTTCTGAATCGACCAGGGCACCTAGAAAGATCGTTAGCTGGGATAAGAAAGAGCGCTCTTATAATACATACTGCATAATCCACGGAAACGGCAGCCAGACCCTTGACCGAGCTTCCCTGCGCCTTCGTTTTCATAGAACGAACGACAAGTTTCTCTGTGTCTGGGCCAGACAGAATTGTGCCGAAAACGCCGCGTGCAAGCTCCGTGAGGACGTATCGATCGTTCCAACCTCGTCTGCCGGCATCCATGCGCTCAAAAATTGCAGTGGCAAAGTCCTCAAACACGGCACCGTTCCTGCCCAAGTAAAGGGTTTCGAATGTATGGAGCACACGCATCAGGCCATCAGTATCGAAGATGTGTTGACGAAGAACATTTGAGGCGACTGAGTACTTGCTACGTATCCATGTCTCGAAGGCTGTCTGGAACAGTTCTGGGAAAGGCGAGAGGGGTACGTCGGATGACGTATCGCAGACTGTTTCATGGTCGAGGCGCGGCTCTGCCAGTGAGGAATGTAAACCTGTATCGTAGATGCCCAGTTCTTTCAGGAAGATAACGCTTTTGCCTGTATTGAATATCTTCTTGACCGCTGGTTGTAGAAACGCAGGCAACTGCATGTGTTCCTCAGAATTGCAGCGGAGCATGAAGCGGTCATGCCAAAGGGAAGCGGCTTCACTTAGTGCATCGCTCGAGATGACAAAGAAGTTCTCCTCGTCGGGACCAAGCTCGCCGGTTTCCATCCACCGTCGGATTGGCTTCAGATATGTCTGTAAGCACTCAAAGAATATCTTTGACGTGTATGCAAAGACTTCGTCTTCCAGCGTCATCTGCGCTAGAGTAGTCTGCTCGTACAACGCTTCCAGGTGGTAAAAGGGATTAACAGGTATCGATGGATCTTCAGTTGCCGTTGATCGACTCAGACCATCGACAATCGGCGTCAGACGTAAGATAGGGTGACATAGTGCCCGCACATCGCCGTGCAATGGCAACAAACTGACGGGAAGTGGCGTATCAGGAATGAGATATCTCTGCTGCATCGCGGATAAGGAGTGGTCGAAGTCAAGTAGTCGCTTCCGTACAACGGCCTCGAAGGTCTGGACAAGAGGTGATGACGGTGGCTTCTTGGCTCGTTGTTGCAGCGTCCAGCGTCTTATCGCCTCTATACGTGTTCCAGTGTCGGCGAATTGAGAAAGGAGATGTGTGATAGCGGTTGATTGATTGTTGTCAACAGTATATGTCTCATTGGGGATGATGCTGTCCTTTTCGATCCGGTACAAGCTCGTCTTCAGCCCACCAAGCATGAATAGCGTTTCTCGCACAGCCTGCAGCTCTGTTATGTTCACGCCAGTGCTAATGCCATCCGCGCGCGAGGTCCAAAATTGCGCGTCTTCCAGCTTGGTAACAAGATTCTCCTCTGTAGATGAGATACAGGCTTCGGGATCGAAAGTATCATCTGCGTCGAAATTGGTCGGTGGTGTGCTTGGAGCCTTCCTGCGCTTTTTAGGCGTTTTCTCGTCGCCCGAAGAGTCCACGGCATAGTCGATGTCCTTCCAGATATCCTCATCGCTGTAGGGGTCGTCTTCAAGGATCTCCGCCCAAGTCAGTGGCGGCGGAGGGCTAGGGGGTCTAAGCAGCTCTAAGGCTTCGACCTGGGTGTTCTCAAGAGGCCGATCGGCTAGTTGGAGTAAAAGAGATAGGAACTCTGGCTTAAATTTGTTCGTGTAGGCCTCCAACTTTTTAAGCCGTGTTTGGAGCGCATCGGCAAGGTCATCGCGGTTCTTGATGCGAAACTTCTCATCCAGTCCGGCAAAGCTCGCCGTAACGTCGAATTGATTCGTTCTTGCATACTGGTGCCCTCGAAGGTTGCGCGATGCAATCTCCCTGGCGTGCCTGTAGGCCTGTTTGTTTGCTGCGGGATCGTGTCTCAGTATGGACTGTATCAGCTCGTCCGTAAGTCCGGAGATTTTCGCGTTTTGGGCCATAGTAACGCGTCCTCCACCTGCCGTCGCGAGATGACGCCAGCGGAAATAAGATCCCGGTAGTAGTGATATCGTTGTGGTGACTTGCGGCGGTTGATTCGGCTCCACTTGACAGAGACATCATGCCCGATGCAGGCTAGCGTGATCACGCACCGCGTCACCGCCGGCTGTGAAACTCGAGGTTGAGCGCTCCTGCGACTTTTCTGAGGCGGGACTGTGTCCCAACCCTCGGCTACCGCAACTGCAACTGCTCGTTATCATGGCGCTTCCCAAGGGCATGCGCTACTTGGCTGGCGCCACTTTCTGCATCTTCGTCTATCTGTTTGTGCAAATCCTCAAGGCCCCTGGTTCCGAGAAACCCGTCGAGATTCCGAGCAAAGTTCCGACCAACAAATTCGGCGACTGGGACCACGACCCCCAATTGGATCGTAAGGCAGCCTGGGATATGGTATGAATCCATCATAGATGCTAATCATGTGATCAGCCTCCGGCGAACCTCCCGAGCCGCTGCGACGAGTCGACGGTGACAACTACGCCCCAAACAATCCCGCGAGCGCGCGCATCAACGCCACGATCCTCAGTCTAGTCCGCAATGAAGAGCTCCACGACATGCTGCAAAGCATGCGCGACCTTGAGCGTACGTGGAACCACAAGTTCAACTACCCCTGGACCTTCTTCAACGATAAGCCCTTTACCGAAGAGTTCAAAAAGGCCACGCGAGCAGCTACCAACGCCGAAGTACGATACGAACTGGTTCCTGCCGAACACTGGGACATTCCGTCGTGGATAAATATGGACTTGTACGAGGAGTCTGTGTCCCTGCTCACGTCGCTGGATGTACAGTACATGGGCAAGAAGTCTTATCACCAGATGTGTCGGTGGAACAGCGGCATGTTCAGCGAGCACCCTGCGCTCAAGGACATCCAATACTACTGGCGGGTGGAACCAAACGTCCACTTCTTCTGCGACGTCGATTACGATGTCTTTGCTTGGATGCAAGACCACAACAAGACGTACGGCTTCAACGTCAACATCTACGATAACGCCGACAGCGTTGCGACGTTATGGCCAGAAACGAAGAAGTTCATCCAAGACAATCCGGGATACGTACATCCAAACAATGCGCGAGAGTGGCTGGAAGACGACCAGCGCCGGCCTGAGAACAACAAGAAAGCCCATGGCTACTCAACCTGCCACTTCTGGTCCAATTTCGAGATCGGCGACCTGAGCTTTTGGAGGAGCAAAAAGTACCGCGACTATTTCGACCATCTCGATCGCGCTGGAGGCTTCTTCTACGAACGTTGGGGCGACGCTCCAGTACACAGCGTCGCACTGGGACTCTTCGAAGACAAGAGCAAGATACACTGGTTCCGAGACATCGGATACCAACACATTCCCTTTTTCAACTGCCCGAACAGTCCAAAGTGTTCCGGTTGCGTCACTGGTCAGTTTACAGACGGCGAGAAGTGGCTGAACCGGGAGGATTGTCGGCCGTTGTGGTTCAAATACGTTGGCATGGACTGAGCTCTAGTCTGGGCAACGCTGCCGCGTATTGCCTACAGCTATGTGCAGCGTACAGTAGTCTCGGAAGTGACTGATATGATTGTACTTGCTCACGTTACGAGGGTTTTAGCTGTTGTGGAGTTATTTGGCGCCTGAGTATGTACGACTTCCATCTCGGCATGACGCATTTACGTGAAGAAATAGTAAATATACCAATAGACGCAACGAATGATTACAGTATCTTTCGAACCCCAGTATCGGTTTGAACATCGCGGAGATCACACGACAGGTTGACTACAACTAATGGATCTTCACCCTGAATCCACCAGACGATATACATCTTCCCGACAAGTACCCGGTTCCGATGCGCTCGTACAAGTTGTCCCCGTTACGGTCTTTCTGTGCGGTTGCAGCGATGATCAGAACGTAGTGTCGCTGAGTCGCAGACGAAGTGCTGCCTTTTGCCTTCCCTAGGACTACACAAAACCTCTTTGGTGCCGTAGACCCGTTTGGCATGTCAAATATCAGGTCACCCTCTCCTTGCATCCCGGCCTTGAGGGAATTGTATTCTCGCGCTGTACCGTGGAGGGCTATATTTGCTGTGTGGAAGTCTGTGCTTGACACATTGGTTGGACTCTTGGCTGACCAGGGCGATTGCAATTCCTCCCACTCAAAGTAGTCGAAGTCAGGCTGGAGATAGTCGATCCCGCCGGTATATGCCATCCATGACCACGATGGAACCTTGGCGACGACGCTTTCTGTTGGGAAGCGGATCCGAAGTAAGCTATCAGTGTCGGCGCCCCGACACCAGAGCAGACTTCGTCGAAGTAAACCACGTTTAGCTCCTTCATCAAAAACTCCGAACCCACCACTCACTCTCATTGTACGAAGAAGACGTTGCTGAAGGCCGTCGATTGCAGTAGGTCGATCGTACGCCTTCGACAAATCTAGGCGCGAGAATTTGCGGTATAGCTCTTGATAGCGCAGGATCTTCTCGCCTTGGGGCGCATTGCGGACGATATTGGGGAAATCTGGGTCGCCGAGGAAGGCGGCGAGGGGGCTGGAGAGTCAGTCGATCTGAAAAGGTCAGCAGTGGTGGATACAAACTTACTTGTTTAATCTCGTTGACGTCTCGCAGCGCACGCCATTGCCGCACTCGAAGTAAGTTTGATGCTCAGTAAAGAAAAGGGTTCGACGAGCGAGAGCATGCTCCTGTAAGACCCAGCCACGCTGGTGCAGCTCACCGTCAAGCACATGGTCTTTGAAGTTGTCGACATTCTGGCAGAGATAGAAAGGATGTTGGCCTTTGCTTCGATCACACAAACGGACACAGTCTCGGCGGTTGCGTGGCTTCAAGAAGCCGTCATAGTGATCCGTGGCGCAGCTGGCTGCAACAACACAATAGGCGCCGCTATAAACTTCTTCCATGCGCTTGGCTTCAGTCATGAAGTCACCTTGTGGCCCTTGTATCACGCAAAGTGAATCAATCCAAAGATAACGACGTCTAAGCGCACGAGTCACTTTTACTGCATCTCTGAATGTGGCCGGGAGAGTGTTAAGTTCGATGCCGCTGAGATGGTCGTGAAGAGTTTCGGGTGTGGTCGAAAGGTGTTGAGAGCCCCATTTATGCGACAATGCAATCCATTCGCCCACGTCAGACGATTTGGTCTCCCACAATCGGACCAGATCATCGCCATCTGTGCCGACATCAATTAGTCGCGTGGGAAGCCGTAATTTCTCGCCATTTGTCGCTAGCTTGGGTGGGGAACATTGATGATGGCCATCACAATCGTTGAGCCAGTGCTGGAGCACCCCAAGGTGGGCAGTGCTGCCTGCTTCTGGGAGTTGGACAAACCCCATCTGGGCATCGCTAATGACCCTAGAGAGCTCTTCTGGATGACGAACGATGGACAGTACAGGGAGGCCGTTGCTTCTCATCCGGAGAAATGATCCTGTTCGATCAAGCTTGATGCTTGAAGACTTTGCGCATCCATCTCTAGTAGCAGTCTGCCAAAGCAGGTCGCATAAATTGCAGAGCTTGCTCTCGGCGTTTAGTCGAAGGGTTTCGGTATCGTAGGACCTGGAGAATCCAGGTACAAAGATCTCATCTTGAAGACAGACGCAGCTTGAGCAGAGCCGTGAGGGAGAGCCGACGTCGCTTGGTTCCAGTGACTTGCTCTCCTTGAGCTGGGCGAACAAATCTGAAACAACGTCATTGCCAGACTGGTACTTCCAGTCATCCTCATCGAGTTCTGGATGCGCGTAGTCTATCTGCGTCGTAGGTTAGTCATCCGTGAACCAGCCAAACGGTCGTGTCAACTTACCCTCCTCTGAGAGGGAGCGATCAATCCGTCAGAGCTGTCTTGGCACTGTTCCCAGTCTGGCTTCTGAGAGACCTCGCCAGAGTAAACTTCCGTGGTAGGAGAAGGTGGCAACACTAGGTCTGAGGTTGGGCGAAGTTCCAAAGGCTGCACCCAGTATGTGAGCCAGTAGCCTTCATCTTCGTCCGGGTCTTCTGCGATAATTCCTTCCATTCGGGAGCGAAATTCATTTGCGAGGCATCGAGCGGGACCTTTAGCTTCTGGCTCGGGTTGTATTGGAATTCTTTCAGGCTCTGGATCCGCCGGAGTGATACTGAAGGAGGGAACGCCTACTGCAGGTGGTATATCTGGGACGTCTCCCGGGCCAAAAGGTGTTTCGCTGGCGGGACGAGCACTTGCTTCAAATCTCGCCTCCGAAACTACGGAGTCGGTACGAGATCGTTCAGTGTGATCTGATATGTTCGTGCCAAGTCTTCGTGGAAGCTTGACGACCAGTAATGCTGTTCTCACTAGTTCCAGGAGATCCCCTATCGCTGTACTACCGGCCTGACATCTGGGATCCTCTCCCATTCTATCCATCCAGTATGTGGCAGCTTTGTGCACTTGAGCTTCCTTCTTTCCATTCTGGACGCTGATCTCGTAGAAACTTGCTTCTCCAAGGTCGCGGCGGAACCGAGTAAGCCCCTCATGCCCTTGCAATAGCCAGATGGTGAATTCGAAAGTGATGCATCCCATCGCCCAGATATCGTATAGACGTGAGCGACGCTTCGTTGACTGACCCAGATATTTAGCTCTTACGCCCGTTTCGACTTCAGGCGCCTCGTAGACACGAGTGCCATATTTTGCTGTTGTTTTACTAGGACGCATCTCCGTGACCTGCCCGTGCTCTTTCGCTTCGCCCCAGTCGCCGATCTTCAGGGTGCCAATCGTACGCCCGTTATTGAAACATAGGATGTTTTCGGGTTTGATATCTCCATGGCGGTATGATGCGCCGGTATTGTTTAGGTTATGAGCGGCCTCGAGTGCCCTGGCAAGTCCCAATATCTGGAACATGGCATCTTTGACCAATGCTACCGTCAGTGTTGGTGAAGGCACCCTTTTCCACATACTGCGGAGATTTCCCCCATCGGCCCACTCGAACATGAGGTAGTGGTCTTGTCCGTCCTTGCCTCTACGGCGTCGGAAAGCTGTTATGAAGCGAACAATATGTTCTTGGCTCAACTCGTTCATGGTCCGGAGGGCTTTGACCTCTCTTTCCCAATGTTCCGCAACCTCTTGTGCATTATCAGAAGACTGAATCTCCTTGACCGCGAAGGTACTACGGTCCAAAAGAGCCTGCTTGCTTTCAGCAATCGCCCGATGTCGATGTTTGGCCGACAGGCCGGGCACTCACTGGGTCTAGATGTTTGTTGTGTATTGTATATTGCGAAACTACGCCGAACGATCCTCTACCAGAGTCCGATTCTTTCGAAACAAAAGGTAAGATATGATCTTCTTCGAGGTTGTGGTTATACCGGGCTGTCGAAAAGACTGGAGCGAGGAATTTCCACTGGTGTTCGCAAAATTCCGCAAACCAGGCCTGCTTCCTCCATCCCGGATGGACACTGATTGGTAGATCGCGGTCGTCCATATCCTTTTTTCTCCACCAATTCAGTGCTGCGAGCAACTTGGTTGGTCGCGTGTAGATGAAGATTGCGAAAACCTTCTTCGCATGCATGCGTATGAATTCCACTAGTTCGGCATCTCCGCGTGTGCCCGCATGCATCTCCAAAGCCTCACTGATGCTTTCCTCTGTGATCAGCTCGTAGATGATACCCTCGGGCACAAATTTGTGCGGCGTCTTTTCGAATGCGCTTTTGATAAAGTTCTCTGATAATAATGTTCTGAGATCGGGTTTCGTATCATCCTCATCATCTTCGATATCTGAGCCCTCAGTGTCAGGCGCCATGATACGGGACGATAACGACATGCAACCCTCGATCTCAAACACACCACCTGAAAGTGAAGTGTGTAAGAAGATTGCGGCTTTGAGGCTTCTTCCAAACTCACGAAAATAAATGTAGGATGGTAACAACTGTCTCGAGCAAGGTTTTAAGAAAGTGTGTAGCCACGCATGGGCGCGGCCGAGCCACCACCAGCTGACCCAGGTGTTACCCGCTTTAACATGGAGTTAAACAGCTATACATGAGCTCGCCACACTATTCCGATAAGCAGCGAATGCTTCCTTCCCATGTTCAAGGGCCAAGGGGCGATCGACAAACCAGCATGCAGAACAGACGGTCATAGCGTACCACACGGCGACCGGGATGCATTCGTGTGTTCGGGTGTTATCGAGCCGTTCCTTTCTGTCTAGGCAGCCAGTAGACCTGCATTCTCCACCCTATCTGCGGCACAGCCTGCAGTGGAATGGGGCGAGGCAGCGTGGGGGCCAGTCCTGCAATCCGGGGTACCTAGGCCTTGCGCCTTTTGGTGTCACCGCGTGGAACTCCAGGGCTTGTAACTAGACGACCTCGGGAGGCGAAAAACGGATTGGTTACACTGTGATATGATGCGACTGGACGGTGTCGCGAGAAGTAGATGTTTCGAGGGAGATCGGTTCATAGGTATCACAACGCGCAGCTGTCTGTCGCGTGATGACGTTTGCTTTTGCGAGATAGCCCCACTTTCCTAGGCGCGTACCTCCCCCTAATAGACGCGCCCGCTACTGCAACCTTCCCAGGTCCCATCACACAGCAGCATGTCGTTTCGGTAACGATCACAAACGCGAAGCCACGCGATGGTAGCCACCTCGTTGCAGGCAACATAGCCAAATGGACGAACTCGAGCTGTTCCTGAGCATTTTACCGCTACCGGCACTCTTCTACATCGTCCTACGCAAGAAAGTCAGGCACCACAGCAATTATCATCAAAAGATACCAGCATAACGGTGGAACCCTCCCAGTGGCTTTAATGATATAGGCATTGTGCATCATCTGCGGTTCTGAATTAGCGACATCTGTTCCTTGTCTTCTGGGGCCTTCACACAGTAAACTTTGGTCTAGCTTCTTCGTCGACTTTTCCGGGTGAACCTCGGCGTTGTCCACCGATTGAACGATAGTTTCGCTATCGGCGTTCGGCACGCTCTGGTCAGACGGGCTCCGTTGCTTGGACAGTGGCTTTCCGAAGGGATTTCCAAATTTCTTGATTAGACGGACCAGAACGGCAATGTCTGCACTGTACGATCCCTCCCTGGGAAGTCATCGGGACGTCGCCGTGTTTCTTTGGCCGTTGTACTTTAAGTCCTTGACGCTCGGAAGGCTGTGTCTACACAGTCGTCAAGGATCTTTCGGCCACAGTATATGCTGGACAACCAATCATGCGCCTAGCCAGCACACCAACTATGGCTATGTAATGAGTGCATGTTGGGGGCGTCAAAGGCAAGGCGCCTGCTTCATGCAGTGCCATTATCCGTTCGTATGACGCGATGCAACGTAACAGGATTCATCCGCGGCCTCGTGCGCTGTTTTCTTGACATGGAGCAACATTCACACGGGTTGTACCTCGCAATTTTGGGTTTTGAACTCTACTAGCACCTGGGCGATGAGATCGAGCCACTTAGATGTCGGTTGAGCGTTAGTCACATTGTCGGCCAGGTCGAATGTCGCTCTCTCGAGGTTCAATGGTCGATAGACCAGACATTTTGAGAGCACATCTCCGCTGCGTACCTTGTTCCATAGCGTACACTTCTGGCAGGGGTATCACAGATCCGCATGCTTTGACCCCGCACTGAATGGAAGTACGTACCGCCCAGCAGACCTCCAAGGTTTGGCCTTGAACACAATCGTTAGATCCAACCAGCAAGAGTGCGTGTAGTCTCATACCTGAGGCTAAAAGTCTAAGTCAACTGGTGCTGTCCGGACCGCGAACGCACAATGGCCGTTGTCTCAAGCTCACTAGTAATCCCGAGCCAGCAGTCAGGGCTGGGACCACCACGTGGTGATGAATCCGAGCCACGAGATGATCATAGACCGATGAACACGTCTTTGCGCAACAGCGAGTGGGCCTTTTCGCTGAACAGTTCTTTCAATCTGACCAGACAACGAGGTACGCATCAAACGCGCTAATTTATGGACTCCTGACTGACGACGCAAGACAGACCCACAGCCTAGACCACGACCACTGAGCGAGCCTTTGTTTGCGTGCGGGGTAAACACACATTCCGAGTCTGGTTGTGCTACCAACGCTGCTCTCCAAGGGATCAACGAATTGGATAATACGAATTCACCTCCAGTGCCATCTCAGACACAGAACACGACCCTGAGGAAAAGGCTCACCAACATCATTGTACCGAAGAGATCAGATGCTCTTGATATAAGGAAGCATGCCGTTAACCCAGTTTTGTTTGTGCGACGATGGGCGCAAACGCGCTTGCCGAACGATAGTCCTACGTCACAGATTCCGAAGAAACTTCGTGAAGCCAGATGTCAAACACATCTCCGGACGTATTTCATACCAGAGGTTGAGGTTGAGAGAATCGTTTCAAGCGAGGCAGTGCGGCAAGAACTTTTGGACTCGAACTATTCGAAACTAGGAAGGATAAGGAAACCACGCTTGAGCATTGAGGATGGCAGGCCATATGTGAAGATACTCACGGCCCTCTATCTTATGAAGCAGCCCTCCAAAATTAGACTTTTTGTCAAATCTGGTGTCTGCGACAAAGATCTTCCGCTCGAGAAAGACCCACATTTCGACAGAGCGAACGGCTCTTATGAGCTGAGAAGCAGAAACAATCCCGAGGCCTGCGCGGTTGTATTCAAAAGACGGGACTACGCCGAAGAGTTTCTTGAGCATCAATGGAGTGTTCTTGCGCCCGTTTTCTTCGGAACCGACGATGCTGCCGTTCCCCATGTTGATTTCGACCCAGAAGTAATCCTGCCATTCTTATCATGCAAGGAGGTTCTGAAACGAGGAGGATCCAGTACAGTTTACAAAACTAATATCCATCCTGAACATGATCGTTTGAACAATATGAGGGTATGTCATATCCCCACGCCTAGTTTTACGGTGTAACAAAACTAACATTCCCTGCGAATCAGCCTGGTTGCAACGTATATGCAATCAAAGCTCTGAAGTCAAGCGACAAAGAGGCCTTTGGTCGAGAAGCTACCATTCTCACTAAGCTAAGCAGCCGGAAGCACTCCCACACTCATCTCATCACCCTACTGGCTACTTACGAACACGATGGGGTTTACCATCTCATATTCCCGTGGGCAGAGCTCGACTTGTTCGACTTTTGGAAGCAGCGTACGCCTGAAGTCGAGCAGATGGGTATGTGGGTTGTAGAGCAATGTCGCGGCCTTGCAGCTGGACTAAATAGTTTGCATCGATACGCAACTCTCTCTGGGACTCTCTTGAATCACGCCTCCGACATACCAGTGCAGAAGGCGGCTGGGAGGCACAAGAAATTTGGGTCAGTTCAAAATGCAAACCCAAGCCGCATGATGATGAATCTATTTGGTCGTCATGGAGATCTCAAACCGGAAAATATTCTCTGGTATCCAGATGACATGACCACAGGCGGTCATGGTATTCTGAAGATTGCCGATTTCGGGGTTACTCGTTTTAACACCGAGGATTCTTGGGACACGCGGCGTACAGGTCACATACCAAACTCAGCAGCATATCGTTCGCCTGAGGTGGATCTCGACTATGTCCTTACTAGTGCATGTGATGTATGGGCTCTCGGATGTGTGTATCTGCAGTTCATTACGTGGTACCTTGGGGGGTATAAACTGGTTGAACGGTTTGGCCGAAGACGTTTGGCAAGTGATCCCTTCCTGGCAAACCGACCGACCGACACCTTTTTCTCCATATACTTTGAGGCAGGGGTGAAAAGAGCTAAAGTCAAATCCGCAGTCATCGAGGTCAGTCTATTCAGTCAACTTTTCTACGCTACGATGATGCCAGGTTCAATAGTCACTCATTGCTAAGCTACCTCAGGTCATGGATGAACTGAGAGCGCATCAACGCTGTACCGTTGACTTCAAGAACTTCCTTGACATAATCAAAGACGACATGTTGGTGGTCCATTGGCAGGAAACGCCAGAGGATCAACACAGTATCCCAGTGCTTCGAAAAACGCTATCAGAGTCAGCCAGCACTCAATTGTTGGGTCATCTGCGACGAAAGAGTTGTGGGGATGTATTCCGCAGTCTGGGCGAAATCAAGCCCTGCTACGACCAGGAAGAAGATTTGACGAGGCGCGATACTCTCGATCCAATTTCACCCATAACTCTACGCAACCATGTGTGGCCTAAACCAGAGCCATCGAACAACAGGAAATTATTGTCTCGCGGATTGACCTTTGGCTGACAGATCTTGGTCTTCAAGTCAATGGGAATCGAGATAAGCTATGGTGTACCGTGCTGGAGAAGAAGGGAATTGTGCGCAGCTTGCCATTTGCCTAATGTCAGTCGGCACGATGGCTGGGCCTTTCCATGCAAGAGATGTTTCGATACGTACGATTATCTCGCTGTTTTGTTGTCCTTTGCCCATTGCCTAAGGATGAAGCGGGGCAGTGGCCCGACAGTACCCGCAGGCGAGCATCTCCGCATATAACGGCAACGTCAACACTAGGCAACAACAAATGACACCGAGATAGGGCGCAGAAAGAAAGACAAGGAAGGAATTCATCGCACGATCAGCATAAAGTTCATCGAACGCAGTTCACCGAGTTCCCGGACATCTGAATTCGGCCCTTCTCTTAACCACCATGACTTTTACCGTCCTCTCCGACGCCGACATCAAAACCCTCCTCCACAACATTTCTCCATCCGATGTCCAGAACCTCGCATCAGCACTCAACCAAGCCCTTACCGAATACTCATGTAACGATGAAGTTCCCTACCAACCACATCGCGCACATGTCGCGCGACCAAATGGCCAAGTAAGCCTCTTCATGCCAGCAAC